GTAGCCCCGTTTCGCACCACGGGCATGACCATCCGCGATCGCTTTGCAGTATGTTGAAGGGGAAGGCGGGCAAAGGCAAAGGCAACCCAGCAGCGCAAAAGGCGGAAGAACGCAAGCCAAGCAGAGCTTCTACACTTCCGACAAAGACTGGCAAAATCGCACTGTCAGCGCAAGCAGAAGCAGGCAGCTGCGTCAAAAAAGGCCGGAGTAAGCCCAAGGCCACCCTGGCGCCTGCGGCATGGAAACCAGCATCGCCGCGCAGCAACAACTGAGAAGCCGCTGAGGTCAGAGGACACACTACAAAGCAAGGCAACCCCGGCTTGGTTCCGTGAACAAGGCTATGACACTCTCACACGGGACGTGGCAACCGGGTTCTACATCGCGCGCAGCCGGGCAGCAAACTCCCAGAGCATGGCTGAATCTACTACGCATGGGAAAACCTTACGACGGCAGGTCAAGCAGCACATTGACACAAGAGCTTCGAGGCTCAGGCCCCAACCACGTTCACCACGCTTCACTACCGCGCCGATCTGCCACAGCCTCCTTGCTGCACAAACAGAACAGGCTCCAAGAAGACAAAATCTCCATAACGACCGCTACCAGGCGGTGATCCCCGACATGTCGCACACGGACAGAAACGCGCATAATAAAGAACCCCCGCACGCACAACCAAGCGCATTCGCACGAGCGCAAAGCAACACACGGGCTCTCCAACCACACAGCAAAGCACCCAGCGACGGGAACAGCAGCACACACACGCCCCGCTACACGCAGCAGAAGCCATAGCACGGGCACTGTGCCCAAACGACGCACGGTCTGAAAAGCAACACAGCAACGCCCAACGGTAAGAACAGCAGTTCCCAGCACACACGCACACACACACACCCACCCCTGGCAGCAGCAGAAGCAGCAGTGCCTGAGACCACTCCACAGAAAAGCAGAGCAGGCGACCTCACGCTTTCCACCAAAAAGAGGGGCTGGTTCGGACGTCGCAGCACACGCGCGACCGCAGCAGCCGGCCACAACACTGGCTGTCACAGCACACACGTGGCGCTTCGCGGAAAGCCTTTGCGCGCCACAGAACAAGCAACACAAGCTCAGAAGAGTGCACATAGACTTGCCACTTCCAGGATTGGTGGACAGTGGTCTGTTTGCCGCACGCTTACCCGCCAAGGGCTGACAGGACTCCTTGGATCCTGTTGAGCAGGCTGCCTTGCGGTTTGGTCGCGTAGCGTATCAGCGTCTGTGTTCTTGCGCTCGTTCTGCCTATCATGCTGTGTGTGCTGCTGGTTGTTTTCCTTTGCCCAGCGCCTTTGCCTGTCGTGTGTAATCGCTGCGCTTTGGCCTGGCGGCCCTTTGCTTTTGCCCTTGCCTTTGCCTGCGTTGTTGGGCGGGCTGTTGGTGTCGTCGTGTTGCGGTTCCGGCTGGAACTCTTGTAGGGGGGCCTGCAGGTCGTAGAGGAGGGTCTCATCCCTTCCTGCTCCACCGCCACCGGCTAAGTCGGCGAAGTCGTGGGCTAAGGTTGCAGTCGTGGCAGCCGGTTGCGCGCTGCTGCTTTGCGTGCTGCGGTCTGCTTCTGCAACGCTGTCGCTTCCATCTCCTTCTGCCTGTCTTCTTTGCAGCATTGGTAACCCCGCACCGTCATCATATCTTGCTCCATGCTCGTCGTTGGTGTCCGGCGAAGCAGCATGCGCCTTGTTGGATGTAAAAACACACCTCTGGGCGTTTTCTCTTCTCCTGTTGAATCCCCTCTGAGGCGGCAATGTCCGCACCGTGTTTTCTTGACTGTGTTTCGGCCAAACTGAGGTCGCAACATGCTGAGCGGGCCGGTATGTTGCCACTGCAAGTGTGAATTATGCGCGCCATCTTGATGATCACCAGCGCCAAGACACCCTCCCGCCGAGGTGGCCAGCCAGGTAATCCCGGTCCACCAGGAGGCGTCGCACAGCCCGTTTCCCACAATTAAAGCGCACTTGCGCAAATCTTTTTAAAGTTGCCCGGGTCAGTCGCAAAGGCGGTAGTGCTTCAGGGCCCCTTCCTTCAAATATCATTTCAAAACCTACCACAAAGTTCCTTGACACCCTTTCTGGGCTCCAGAACTCTACAGATACACAGCCACATTTCCAGCAACATAAAACCAAGCCGACATGCAAACCGAGTCTCAAAAAGAACTCCCTACAACACAAAATTAAATGGACCTCAAATCCAGCAGCAGTTTAGAACAAAAAGCCATATGGAAACTCAAAGCTAATCTCGCACAGAACTTTCAAAATTTTCAGCGCCGCACAACCAACCAACCGGGACTCAAATTTGGGTCTGGGCAACCCGAACGTTCTAGAAATTGTTTCTCCCCTCCGTAGATTTGTCTGCCGGCGCGATGGCTCCAGCCAAGTCGGGACAGGATTCTCCAGCTCTCCGACATTCCGCTCACTGAAATCAATGATCGGCGGTTGTCTTTTGCGCTGCTCCCCTGTTTTCCCTCCGCGTGAGGCGGGGCTCCTGTTCCACTGTGGCGCGCTTGGCCACGACGTCTCCCTCACCTGGTTTCAACAGGAGCCCGACGATTTCGCTGCCCTGCTTGCCCCATCGCTTCTTACCATTTCAACTGAAACCCCTAACTCGGAGATTCACTTTGTTGTGTCCCTTGCTTGTTTCGATTTGGAAAGGAAGCTCCAGCAATACCAAGTGTATGTCAGTTGAAACTCAAAATTGGGACGAGAGTGCTAAGCAATTCTTCATAATTTCGGGCTCAGGGAAACATTGTTATTGATCGGTTACATTGTTTGGGGGAGGTAGGTTGATTGATCATACAGAAAAGATATGGGTGGCCAAGCAATGAAAGAACGAAAGAGCAGAATGAAATAGTGCTTCGCCACATGGAGACGGTGCTAGAGTTGATCTGGCGCACAGGCATAAGAGAGGAGAGCCCCCCCCCGAAAAACCCCCAGCCTGCCCCTCATCTCCTGGGACCGCTACTAGTCTCAGTGGCTTTTCTGACCGCTTCACTCTGGCCGCCACAAACCCGCACTGGGGTACCTCTTGGCTCTGGTGTCTTTCATCACCGATTCTGCCACTGTTCTAACCTCCAGTGCGGGATGGCCTTTGACGCCGCAAACTTTAGGATTTTGGAGCGTTATCTTCCACTCCCTCACTTAGCTCGATCTGGCCCACGTAGACGTGTAGAGGCGCCAGAAGTGAGAGTAGACGGAGATGGGGCGCAGGCTGCTGCTGTCAATGGAGTCCACATTGACCTTGCCCGGTTTGGTCAGGTTTATCTGCCGGATTTCCTTCAAGACCTCCGTTCCGTCTTTCTGTGAGGACTTATGTTGGGCGGTCTGCTGCGCTTCTTCTACTCATAGTCTGCTGCTGTTTTTGGAGCGGCTGGTTGCCGGCACAATGGCTTTTTGCTGCTGCGCAATAAGGGGGCTGAGACTTTTTATGGCTGGTCTCCTGGCGGCATTTCGTCCATCTGGCCAATCCTTCCTTTTAGAGTTGTTTGAGTTCCTGCTGTTGCTCGGGTCCTTCTCGTAGTTGGTTTATGTTGCTGGCGCCGACAGTCTTCTTCCTTCCGTGCTGCTCGGGAAGTTCGGGGTTTAGCCGCTTTCTGCTTGCCGTGGAGCTGGGGTTTCCATCGTTTGGTGACTTGTGTCACCGAGGTGGTGCTGCGCTGCTGTGTCTTGTTGGCTGCTGCGGCGCTGGGGCTGTGCTTTGTGAGTGCCGTGGCAAACATGGCATTGAGGGCGGCAGTAGGCCGTCCACCCCGTTCCCCCTCTCAGGTTTTGTCTGGGCATGGTCTTCCTGAACCTTGGTCAGGTGGCTCCATGCGTTCCACGCCATCCAAGCGTTGGTTTGAACTTTTTGCCATGGCCGGGTTGTTGCAAGCTTCTTCTTCATGCCTTTCTGACTGCCAGTCTTTGCTGTAGGGACAGATCCATGCATTTGCGGCACGTGAAGGTGGGTCCCACTCGGGGTGTGGTTCTTGCTGCGCTGACGTGGCTGGGCCAGTTTGGGCAGACTTCTATCAGCTCGCGCCGTGTCACGCTTGCCTTTATTTCTCTCCACCAGCTTCTGGCTGCGCCCTTATCTTTCTGGTCGAGGCGTGCCCTTGCCTTGTGTGTGATGGCCATATTGATCTTCCTTCGGTAGCTGCGGTAGGCTCAGGTGACACACGGGGCAATCCCATGCTGCTTTGTGCTGCGGGAGCTGTCGCGCCTCAACCGTTGGTCCTTTGCCCTCTTTTCTAGCGGTGTGTCTTTGCGCCGTCCGTTCGTGTGGTTTGTTATTCTCCAGCGCAGCATTTTTCCTGTGGCGCCCTGGAGCTCGAGGTCACAGTGCAGGCATGTCCACTTCAGGACGCTGCTTTGGGCTTTGTCGCCGCGGGATGGCAGGGGTGCTCTGCTTTCGCTCGCTTTCTTTTGCCAGGGGTTTTTGCGAGAAGACGTATACTATGTGTGCGTGCGCCCACTGGTGAACTGGCGTGATTGTTTGGGGCGCAAACCAAGCGGCTGCCTGGCGCATGGTGCAGATGCGTGCCACTATACAAACAGTGGCAGACACACGGAGGCGTTGGAGCCGCAGACACCCTGTCGCTGCTGTTGCGCGAGAAGTATCTTGAGCTCTGCTTCTCGGGCACCAACGCTTGCCTCTGCATGGTCCAGCGCCAGGGTTCGGATTCTTGACAGCCAAGCTTCAGAAGAAGAAAGGCTCAAAAGAGTCTTGCACCCAGTATGAGCTGCGTTGGTCCGCACCGCAGCGCCGTGCTTGCGCATCCGCGCGAGGAGGCGAAGGAGCCTGACCGCTGTGGTGATATGAAGGTGGCTGTTGCCGCCATACACCGAAGAACCGGTTGAGGACTGCCACTGCATCACATCCACTGCAGCACCTGCAGGGATGCAGCAGGTGGCAGCTGGCTGGGCTCCTCACTCATCACTGTTGCGATCTAACGCCAGATCAAATCCACCGCCTTTATGTGCCTAAGCACTGCCTCATTCTGCCCTTTTCTGTCATGGCTTGGCCCTCCACATCGCAAAGGAAGGCACAAACACAAGGTGCGATGGTCAAACACAAATTGATAGCTAGGCTGCGCTTCAGTCAGCCCGTTCGATTGTGGGCGTCCAGGGGGAATATGATAGGGTCTGACATGCAAAGTCTGGAAAACCGCTTCCTCGACGACGCTTTTGAACTGGCCGGAATGTCCACCTCATGGTAATGTCGTAGCAGCAGCTGTTGCACCTCTGCCAAACCTTTCCTAAGCTTGCAGCTTTGCATTGCCACAGAAACAAACAAGCACGTGGGGCTAGAGTTACTTCATGCTGCTTGTCAGGACTACTCTAAGCCAAGAAGCTTATCAACGTCCATATCAAACGCCCACAGCCGGTTTGTCGCAAAATCGACAAGGAGCAGCATGACCCAATGGGCGCCATCAGGTGGCACGACTTTCTTTAAGTCCACTCCAAGGATGTCGCCCGCAGCCATTGGCCGAGGCAGATGTCTTGGGGCGGGCTCAGCGACGCCCCGCGTGCTGGTGGCAAGGCAATGAGAGCAGTGACGTAGGACGTACGCAGCGTCCAGGTCCATGTTGAGCCAGCGTTTGCCCTCATCATGCAGCGCTCGCACCATGCCTTCGCGCCCACCAAGGTGCATCTGGTCCTGGCGCGAAGCTTGCAAACCGGCAACCACCAACAATTTTCTGGGACCGCTGCTAGTCTCCGCCAACTTTCCCAAAAACATGGTGCGCAGCTCTGTCCTTGTCTGCTTTAGCCCGAGCGTCCTGGATAGAAATCCAGGCATGGAGGCACTCAGGTTGGAACTGGTAAGGCCTTTGCTCATGCCAGCCGTGCTTGGTTAGCCACTCCTTCTCGGATGGCTTGCCTTGCTGAGGCCATCGCCCCCTTGCTCTGCGTCTGTGTGCATTTTCGGGCTGCTGCCCCCTCCTACTGGCATTATCCAGCAATGCGCATCACCTGTCGCACAACTATTGCAGCAGAGCAGCGGCCTTATGCCGCTGCACGCTCTCCGGCCGTGTCAAGGCCTGTGGTTTCTGCTTGGGCTGGCTTGCGGCCGACCCATCCATATGTGACCACCGAGCTCTGCCCTTCTGAATCCGATGGGTCTCCTTTTCATCCTTCCGACCGTGACCGTGCCGAGCATTTCGACTTGGAGTATCCGCTGACCTTGCCCGGCTTGGTCAGGCTTATCTGCCGGGTCAAAGCCAAACCCAATTTCAACAGGAAGCTCCAGCAACACCAAGGTTTGGGTGGAGCAGTACCAAGCAATTCACTATCGTTCAGAAATTTGGGCTTGGGGAAAACATTGCGCTTCCTTGGCCTCCATTGTTTGGGGGAGGGGGTTGCTGTAGGCCTCCGGTGCGGTGACTCGGAGATTCACTTTGTTGTGTTCCTTGCTTGTTTCGATTTGGACATTTTTGGACCTTTTCCCTCAACAACAATCATATGATATGGTTATAGACAGTGTCCATGTGTCTGCCTTCTTGCTCAAATAAGGCACTTACTTTTGCACATACACCAACTTTTTCTTTACAAATAGTCTCAAAACAGTTTCTTGCTGTGTTTCTATAAATGGTCTCAAACAGTTTCTTTTTTGTTTTTTTTTTATAAATAGTCTCAAACAGTCTGGGATTGTTGTAAATAGTCTCAAACAGTTTCTGGGATTTTTTATAAATAGTTTCAAATAGTTTCTCCTAAAAAACAAAACTCTGAAATAAGCACGCCCATGTTGGTCCTAAATTGTATCAATTCAAATCCACTGATACCCAAGTTTCTGAGCTTCAAAACGAAGCTCCGGGGAAACTCAATGTTGAAAGGAAGCTCCAGCAATACCAAGTGTATGTCAGTTGAAACTAAACATTGGGACGAGCGTAGTAAGCAATTCTTCATAATTTCGGGCTCAGGGAAACATTGTTATTCCTTTGTTCCACTGGTTGGGGGAGGTAGGTTGATTGTTCATACGTGATACGTGGACACTTCCCTCGCATTCATTGCAATCCTGTGTGAACAGCACCGCGAAGACGTATATTATGACCGCCATCAGCATCAAAGCCCAGAAGAGAGACTTGAGCCTCAGTTGTCGACAGCTGGCCTTGCGGTATACGATGAAGCATATCAACATGCGCAGGATGCTGGGCGGGGTGTTGGGCTAGATTTGAAGCCATGTTTGTGAGGGGTGGGAATTGATGGGCACACACCCATTGCCTGAGCAAAGAAATGCACACGTGCTAGCGCCAAATGATACGCACACCCGCCCGCACACGTGACCAGCTAACTGCACACATCCCAGGCCTTAAAGATAAGCACTTTCAACATCGTGATGCTTTGAAACAGTGAACCACCTTCAGTTGAGAAGCCTTTTGGTCAAATGCAAAGCAAAGTGCCAGTGAGTGCGAGTCAACCACTAGTGAGACTTCTTCCGGAACACAAACATGAAAAATGCCCAGTTTAGCAATCCGGTTGGTATTTTGCTAGCCGACTTGTTAGCTGGCTAGCAACGCAAATACAAAAAATGAGCAATTGTTTGGCGGCTGATCCCTCAGAAAGTCCACAAATGTTGCTGCGCAAGCGGAGCAATCGAATCCTCACGAACTACGCGTACAATCAGCCCATTTGTGTCACCCCTTGCTTCTATGGTACGCTTGGGGGGTTGCAAAGTTCTCTGACACTCTGGCAGTACTCAGCACCAAAAAGGTGCCCCATGTACAAGCGACCAACCCCGTACCTCAGACTGGACACCCAACGTTGAAACAGAACACTAACCAGTAGAGAAATAAGCAAGGCCTTCAGAATCCAGCAAACCAGCAACCCAGGGCAAGGATGCAGCAACGTAAAATTTCAGTTACCATCAGCTCAGGCCCAGCCCTTCAGAAGCAGGGCAATGCTTACCGTCACGACTTAAACAAACTACTGAGCAGCCAAGCTTATGCATAAAGCTGCAATCAAACAAAAAACAAACACACCGTGTGTGTCCCTCGCTGGGCCAACCCCCAAATGGTAGTGTGTTGTGTGTGTTAGCCCCAGGACCTGCTGGATTCAACATTTGTCAACATGACGTACGAACTTTGCGCTAGTTGGCTTCAATGCATGCTTGACGTTCCAGAAATACTCTGCCGGAAAACAAGACGCGCCGCGCAATCGGGTCTGCGAGCGGCGTGTAAGCGATGGACGTGATCAACGTTCTGAAGGCCAGCACAAAGCGGAAGACACGCATGAGCTTCACAGCCTTGGCGCAAAAACTGCGGTATGAATCGAACGCTTGCACGGTCGATCTGTGGCAGCAAGTCCAGGAATCATCAACCCTGCAACTGCAAGCCCCAGTGTTTCTCACTGTCTGGTCTGACACGGTATGCAGCCATCGGCTCATTTGGCCCGCAAGCGAAATTCACTCTGGCCCAAAAACATGACTAAACCCGATCAGCCTATACTGCTTTTGTCAAGAATAGCAGCCTTCATGATGCGGGTGATGCGGATGATTCGCAGCGCTTTCAAGCTGGACACGCCGGCGACGTCGCCGATCTCCTCAGATAGTGGTCAAAAGCGAAAGGCCTCCCAGCTACCGAGCTCTTCCCAATCCGGGCTCCACTGATGCAGGCAAGGCTCGTCCTGCTGAGCAAAGTAAATGATGTCCACAATTACCTGTTTGGCTTTTGGCCTAACACCTGGCCTAGCTTCATCTTGCGCACCGATTGAAACACGGCACCAACTCAGTCTTGGGATTGGCAAGGGCCAAGCAATTTGATTCAGCACTCTTGCCACGAAACATATGACTTCTCTGCGTGCACTTTAGCTGCAAAATTGTGGCAATGATGTTTTATGGCACCTTGATCGTTACCCCTACGTGACGTCCAGCATCCTGCCGCATGATGCGACATGTTGTCTTCAGCCCTTCACCAGTCACCAAGCAACTTATCACTCCAACCTTGGGCAGAAATGCATCGCACAGTGCGGTTCTTTTTTAAGGCCCAAACAATGGAAAGTCGTTGGAGTTCCGCTGTAATTCTGTTGGAACTCCACTGAAATCAGCTAAAATCCAGCGAAAAGAAGAGACTCTGCTGAGTTGAAGCGATAGACTTGAGGCGCTGAGTGGCACTAATAGAAGGCCTTGACAGGTGGAAAGTTTGTCGGAATTGAAAGTCGGCTGGGGTTGACAAACGGAAAGCAGCACCAGCGAGCGGCCTCCCAGATCGAAGTGATCACCACCAAGATGTCGAGCAAACCCCAGGCCCAATCCTTTGACGTGAAGCTCGCACTAAACCCATACATTTCGATGGCTTCATGTTCACTTGCGTACTTACAAACGAGCTGTGTGCTCGCATCCTCCTACGCGCTTCTTGAAAGCGCTCGGGAGTTGTTGTACGAATAGGGGGGGCTAGGGGGGGCTAGGGGGGGCCAGGAATGGCGAGAAGGGGGGGCTAGAGGGGGGCTAGGGGGGGCTGGGGGGGGGGAGCTAGGGGAGCTACGGGGGTAGGGGGCTAGGGTGCACGAGCTGATTTGCTGTTTGCTTGGAAGCGCTAAGAAGATTCGGATATGGTTTGGATTGTTGGTTGTGCGCTTGTTGGTTTGCTCTGACTTGGGTCAAGCTGGTACGGGACAACCAGGCAAAGCAAGGGTAAGCAAGGGCAAAGCAAGCGAAAGCAGGGGAAAGCAAGTCAAACAAGGGGAAGCAAGGCAAAAGCAAGGGACAGGAAGGCAAAGCAAGAGAAGCCAGGGAAAGCAGGGCAAAGCCAGATTTTTCCTTCCCTTGTCTTCCCTCGCCTTCCCTTGTTTCCCCTTTGCTTTCCTTTGCTTTGGCCTGCTTTCCCTTGTTTTCCCTTGCTTTGCCCTTGCGTTCCGTTTCCCGTGCTTTCTCGGCTGTCATTGCTGTCCCTTGCTTTCTGTTGTTTTCTCCCTTGCTTTCGATTGATTTCCCTTACTGCCCCTTGCTTTTTCTGCTTTCCCATGCCTTGCCTTGCCCTTGCTTTGCTGGCTGTCGCTTGCTTTCCCTTGGTTTCGATTGCCTAGCCTTGCTTTCCCTGAAAAGCAAGGGACAGCGAGGCAAAGTCAGGAAAAGCAGGGCAAAGCAAGCGAAACGAAGGGAAGGCAAGACTCTGCCAGCCAACTTTCGCCAATCTTTCTCAGCTCGAAGTCAAGTTCATGGCAATCACTTTGCGCTGCAGCACGGGCATCATTTGCTCCAGCCCACATTGCTCTTGTGGTTCCTTTGAGCCTGCCTGAGGGCTTGGCTCGCCTTGGCCCGCCAGAAATGACAAAACAATGCCCATGAAGACTCGGTCGCACAGCTCCATGCAACAGTGTTCAACAATGTAAACTCCGTGAGCACATGAAAGGCATGCCAACTCGGCCTGGCTTCCTCTGAGCAACAGAACTGCCAGCCGTCCACAGATACGCGAAGGATCAACTCCAGCAGAAACCAGCCCGTGTAGATGTACTGCACCACCTGGTGCCAGGCAAGACAAGAGAAGAAAGGCGATGAGGTGGAACAGAATGACTTATTCCAAAGATATCATAGATCTCATTTGCGCAGCACAAGTAGGTGATGAGCTCCGGCTCTCAGCCGGTAGCTTGAAAGGGTTTATGACTGTGCACCATCGAATCACAAGCTGCGAAATGCCAGGTGCAAACAACTTTGTTCATGATACCTGAAAGTCTGAGAGAAATCCTTTGAAGCAGCGCTTGCATTTCATCAGACTCGAAATCTGCATCATCGGCAAGCTGAAACGGGAGCTGAAGCCAAGCTTCATAAAGGCTGGAAGCACGTTCTCCGCCTGAGTCAATGTTGAGCTGCACCTGCACGTGCTCAGGGCACGCCAAAGCCAATGTTTTAGCTCTGTCATTCAGTCCTTTTCTTGGCGAGGCTTCGTTGCGAGTCAATGCATCGCATCCTGTCGGCCCTGCCTCGACACCCAAAAAAACGGAGTTGCTGACCACCACCAACGCGCAGAAGAGGTCAAAGGCAGTGCTCTTTACAAACCTGCTGGAATTGCGAAATGCACGGCAACAAACGCCAAACACGTGAAAAACTGTAGCGGTGGCACTGTGGCACGAATCACACGGACTGGTGAGCTATTGCCAGGCAGTGGCCTTATTTGGCCGACACGATGCAGCAAGGCGGGCCCCATCAAGCCCCTTGCAGTCGTTATAGGAGTTATGCCAAACCTTTGTGCGGTGCAAACCCAAAGAGTCAACCCAGGGTTTCAGCGCATGTTCAAATATCTGTCCTCCGGAGACAAGAAGGATCCTCCATTTCCTCGTTTGTCGTCCTCAGCGTACACCCTCAGGTGTGAAATTGATCTGCAAAACCAAGCGAAACCAGGCCGGATCCAGTCCAAGCAGCCCAATCGCATACTTGCTGCGACATTGAACTGCATCTGCTTCAGCAGCCCTGTCCGTATGCGCAAGGTCGTCAGTGGTAAAGGTGCCTCAATTTGAAAAAACATCTCGACGGGGATGCAGAAAGCCCGCTTGCTCACAAGAAGCATCAAGAACCCACAACATCTGACGTCCAGAATCCTCCCGAGCAATGTGACAGCGGGCCAAACCCATGGTGCAAAGCCTGGAACGTTTGTCCGGGCTGCTGAAAAGCTTTGGCTTCAGGCTGTTCCGCTTCTTCTGGGCCTGCGAGGTGCTGAGGAAAGGCACTGAAACGGTGTTCCATTGGCCTTTTGCAGATGTCTGTTTTCACTCTGGTAAAAGCAGGACTCTTTTTGCCACACCAATAGAGTACTTGCATCAAAGCAGCCACAATGCTTCACGTGTGTGCTTTCACGCGGGAGCAAACAGCTTCCGATGCCCTTGAGCTGCAATAGCCATCAAGCCACGCCTTGGGCATGGGCACCTTAGGCAGCTCACCTCGGCCACACGTCGAAGCGGTCGGCTTGCAAACGAGGCGGTTGAACCAACCGTTTACATCCGTGTACCAAAAGCGTGAGACGGCAGCGTTGAACATTGACTTTGGGAAGCTCAGTGCTCCGATAAACTGCAGGGTTTTTGTTTCAACAGTGGCATTGGGCAGCAATTTAGGCACAAGACAGTAGCCCTGAAATCGGCCGTCTGAGCGGTTAGCCGAGTCTAGCGCTCTTAGAGCGTTAGCTGTACTGGAAAGACGCTCATGCCAAAGGCGTAGCGCCTGGGACTAAGTAAAGACGTTGGAGCAGCAGGCGAGGATTTCGGGTACGCGGGTCACATTGCTTGGGTCACTCTCTCTCTCTCTCTCTACCCACCCACCCACCCACCCATCTCTCTCTCTCTCTCTCTAAAAGTGTATGGCTATCTCTCTCTATCTCTCTCTGTCAGGCCGTCGCCATCCGCCCACATCTGTCGCTGGCGGGACCCCTCATCTCATTGGTGGGCAATATCCTTTGTTCAAATAGAGGACGCACATGCGAAGAACTGAACAACGCGATCCCTATCCTAGCAGGTGGGCAATGTCCGTTGCTGAATTTGGGGCAAACAAATGAACAACCTGACCCCTCATCCCAGCGTCCGTTGTTTACCTGGCCACTTAGTCACTTGGCCACTTGGCCACTTGGTCCACTTGCTTCTGGCCAAATAGCTTCAGCAGCTTTCCATGTGGTCCACTTGATGACTTGGGGAGCAAGTGGCCAATGGCTTTGCCCACCTGGTCCACTTGGCCCAAGTGGCCAATGGCTTCGGCCACTTGGCCAATTGGTCCACTTGTTTGGCCACTTGGCACACCTGCAAGTGGCCAAATGGCTTCGGCCAGACTTTAGCCACTTGGTCCAATGGTCCACTTGCGCGGCCACTCGGCCACTTGGTTCACCTGCTAGAAAGCAAGTGGCCAAACGGCTTGGGTCACTTGGTCCACTTGGCCACTTGGTCCACTTGGTCCACTTGGCCACTTGGCTTGGGCCACTTGGGGCCCTGTCCGTGGCACGTGGTCTACTCTTGGTCCACTTGCCTGCGGCGCAAGTGGACCATGTGGCCAAGTGGACCAAGTGGACGCAAGTGGCCTTCAGCGGTTTGTAGGTCCCGCGAGCGCAAGGCTCTGTAAAGTGTTTTGCCAAGCTGTGGATCCCCGAAGGCCTTTAACAAGTTGCAGTTGAAGGTCAGGCTTCCATCGGAGCATCAGCGAGTCTATGCGCTGCAAACAAGCCACGTCGCGGTTCTGCATGCGACTGGCGCGCGTCGCGATGTCCAAACCGGCGCTCGGGCCGAAGCAGCGCTATGAGCACCTGGGTCACAGATTCAGATCTCGCATGACTCACGTTGCTGTTAGCTTTGCCCGAACGTCTGGCAAACGATCCTGCTTCAAAATCGCTTCCCGACACATTTTCAATGAGACCCTGACCAGCCTCTTGGTGGTGGTCTAGCCGCTGCAGTAATTCCACGCGCAGCTTTGCCAGAAAGAGCTTTGTATCTGGGCCAACGAAAGCTACCAATCGCACTGCCGTCTTCGAAGATTGGTTGTAGCCCTTTCAACTCAGGTACGAGCAGTGACCAAGAGCGAAACAAACTCCAATTATCCAAGCCCCATGCCCGCCAGCCTTCTGGGGACTCTCGCAAGGGCGGGAAGACATTCTGCGCGGGATGTGGAGCTTCAATGATCTCCTAGAGTGCAATGCTCACAATCCCAGAGGCAGGCCCTAAAGTCTTCTACGAATCCCCCGCGAAACCGCTGCATGAAGAAACAAGAAGTAATACATACAGAAACAAGCGTCGCGGAAGCGAGATCAATTGTGCAAAAATGCAGGGTGCGCTAACTAACTGCCGGCACTGCCTCGCTCGACTTCCAGGATTCTTCACTCTGGCGATCCATGTCAAAGCTTTGTCCACCAATTCTTGAGCGCTCCTTCTCTGCCGGCAGCACATGTTTAGTGCCATGGCTCATGGCAAGAGTTGGGTTTCAGTCTCGGATTTCACGCAACAGCTGCGAGGCTCTCCGGTAAACGAGACCGTGCCACATATTATTGCTCCACCGGATCTACCACACATGAGCAGGACGTGCTTCAGACTGTCCTCAATGGCGTGTCAAATCCACCCGCCTCGTATGTTGAGGCAGAAAGCGGTTCTGGTTTTTCCGCTCAGGCACATGTACTTGATCAGTGCATCTGGAGCCAAAAATTCACATTACGCATGGGTTTGGAGTCTGCGAGACAAAACACCCTGTGTATGTCCAATGTGTGTGTGTGTGTGTGGTTGTAAGCAAACAATGCCTCCAAGTTTGTGCTTTCTGGCACCATGTTCCCCCTGTACTTCACAAAACATCATACCCCGCCAGGCCAACCCGATTGTATGGTTCATGGAAATGCAGCTAATACAGCTAGTGAACAAGATGACCCTCACGAGCTTGCTCACAAGCGGTTTTGCAGCAAAGGCTGTCTGAAGGCCATGTTCAGCTCCTCAAACACCTTGGATGAGCCCCAGCAATTGGGACATTTGCCCAGAAAGCCGCGTAAGCTCCTCGTCAACGTGGCTGTGGAACTTGCCGGTACTGCCTCAGGTCCAAGGCTTGCACGGCCAAATGCCCTGCCCCATGAAGCCCTGGCAATCTCTGCGACGGCATCATGCAAGCAGCATGCGAAGCCTTCACTGCCTCTGAGCCCTCTGCAAGCAGCGCTACTGCGACCTCCCTTCTGCAATTGACTGACAAGATGTCACCCAATGGTATTCAAAAGCCAAGAGTCGAATGAGCCACGTCTGGTCATGAATGATCTTGCCCACGTCAATGGCTTTGGCGAAGCCACGCAGCCGCAAGCAGCCCATCAAGAACTCCTGCGAGTGAATCATTTGAAGCTAGCTAAGGCCAGCTCACAAACCAGCAAGCTCAACGTCTGGAACATTCCCTGATATTCTCTGGATTCATCTTGCCAATCTGTCCTCAATCTCTACATCACCACCCTCGTCTAAGTCCAGCAGCTTGAAGAAGGTCCATGCCTTGGCACGCGAAATTGAGTGAACTGCGACAGCAAGAGATCAGCAACCATCCAGTACGACATTCAGGTAGTCGTTTGCTTAATTGTCAAGCTTGGAATTCAACGCATGGCAAAACATCCGTGCCAAACCAAACAGAAAGCAGTGTCCCCAGCACAGGCTTTTTGGCGCATTCCTATTTCATCTCATAGGTCCACAGTTGGGGTACTTTGCAGATCACACAAGCAGTTGGGTGGTGGTTTCTCTCGAGTTGTGTTTGTTGTGTTGCTTTCCCGAGGTTTTTGCATTCCTGCATCTCAAGGAATGGGGGGAATACTAAGTGAATGCTAAAGGAATACTGGGATAGTACTGGAGGAGTGTTCAGGGAATGCTAAACCTCGTGAAACCAAAAACAAAACAATCCCCCGGGGAAAATGACCAGCGACTCCCAGGTGTTGTTCTGCTTTTTGTCTTTCCTCGAGGTTTTTGCATTCCTGCATTTCAAGGAAAACTATGGGAATACTAGAATAATACTAAGGAAATAGTAAAAGCAGGGGGATACTACGGATGAATACTACGAAAATACTACGGGAATATATTCTGAGGAAATGCTTGCGGAATATTAAGGAAATCCTGGGGGGAGTGCTGAGGGAACACTAGGGCAAGATAATATTAATGGAATAGGGAAATGCTAGTGGAACACTAATGGCATGCCAGGGGAGTTCTCAGGGAATAGCCAAGAGAATGCCCAAGGAATACTTGTGAATCACCGAGGGGATAATATGGGAATTCTAGGGGAAATGCAAGGGGGAAGGAGAATTACTCCTGGAAGTACTAAGGGAATACTAGGGGCAAGCGAATGCTAAAGGAATAGGGGAATGTTATGGAAGTGCTAAGGGTGAATACTAACAAAATACTAGGGCAACACTGAGGGAATACCAGCGGGTAGGCCAAGAGGATAAGGGGAACACTGAGGGAATACTTGAGGGTGCACCAAGAGAATGCTAAAGAAATACTAGGGGAGTACCAAAGGGATCACAAAGGACTAGTAGGGCAATGCTCGGAGAACACGGGTGAATACTGGGAGAATACCCAGGAATTGCCAAGAAATGCCAGGGAACATTGAGAGGCTCAGTGAGAGCTTGTACGAAGGGAATTGCGAAAAGCTGCAGAAGTAAGTGTGCGGATTTGTTGATGATTTCGATTGCATGTGCGGACATGAGACCGAATCAGATGAGACACACATGTGTGGCCATTAATCAAGCTATGACTCCCAAATGATATGTTTGGAGAAGAAAGGGTCCCTGGCAATGCGTGTATAGGTTAATAGTTTTGAGATATTAAAACAAACAGTGGTTTTGAATGGAAAAACACAGTGCTGGGGACACTGCCCTCCCAGACTAAAGTTACAGTACCCGCAAAGAGTGCCTCTCCCATTCTGGTCTGAGTCACATCCCAAACGTCAAGTCCCAAGATGTCAAAGTATTCGCGCACTGCCGGGGAGTTAATTTTCTCCTCGAACATGGCGAAGGTGATGACACCAGTTCTTTCGGCGCCCAGTTTGCTGAAGAGGGAGTAGATTTTGTCAACGTGTGCCTGTTTGTTCCTGGCAAAAAGCACATCTGCCAAGCAGCATGCAGAGCAAACATATGAAAGCCTAAGCAGAGCCAAAATAATGATCAAAACGCAACGCATCTGCGAGTGAATAGCTGTGCCTTCACATATGTCATGTGCGTGACAGGCCTCTTATCAACCCACCACGCGTGCAGTTATCTGGTTGCAACTGGTCCTTAAGATCGAGTGGACCACAGCTGCGTGGTCGTTCTGCGCAGATTCTATCGCTGACTGACCTCGATCAAACTGAGAGCCCCCGTGAAACAGCAAACTGCTGGCTGTTCGCTTACAACCAAAAAGAGTTAAACATCGAAAAAATCTGCTAGGCATAGCTCAGAAGCAAAATACACCAGTAACCACGTTCCTTCGCCGCCAAATGTCCGCACTGGCTACACAGCGCAAGAATTGTCAAACCATGAATGCATTGCATCTAAGCTTCAAAACTGCAAAGTACCTGAGTGGCTTCTAAACCCAAAGTCGCATAATTCCCAACATACAATATTGGAGGTTGCAACATTTGCGCGCCAATCAAATACCCTCATCACATGTCCAGGGTTTCAGAGGTGTCGGCAGCCAAAGACGTTGTCCGGATTCTGAAAAACCTTTGCAACACTGCACTCCTGTTTCACCCTGCCATACTCCGGATGTCCAACAATGCAAAATCCACGTTTGATCAATTCAATGCCAGAATGGGCGGCATGCCAAGCAACAGCAAACACTGCTGTTTATCACTGCAAGTTAAAACTTGCGCTGGGAGGTAGCTCCAGAAAGCAACCTCTGCTGCAGAAAGCACACTTAAGACAGTCGTAGGCAGAAAGCAATCCGAAATTTAGGTGATATTCGTTTGTTTTCTTCCTCTCAGGAATGCACCTCGAAACATTGTCAATGTCCAACTAGGCACGCCGCATTTGCTGCAAATTGGCTTTGGATAGCGCGCAACGTGAGATGGGTTTTCAGAAGCTGCTCTCGCTAATAAAAAACCGCCCCTCCGAACAAAATTAATTGAGCAAGGTCATCTAGCTTCTCAGGTAAGGCTGCCAAAAAAACTCGCTGTGTCTAGCTGTCTACTTGTCAGGGGGTTATCGCTGTTTAACTCCTTAGCGTTTGCAACCGTTTGTGCTTTCTGTACTTTCAACCTCGAAAGCTCGACCTTTTAGTGCAAGTGTAGCACACAAAGTACACTTTGCAGCTCCAGCTCGAAAATTGCGACTTTTCAGTACAAGTGAAGTACCCGATGTACGCTTTAGCAGCTCCAGCTCGAAAATCTCAACTTTTCAATCATTACAAGTGTAGTATGCTAAGTACACTTTGGCAGCAAAGGACTACTTATATGCAAAGCGTTCTCGAGTTTGTTATCGCATGGTTCTCGCTTGTGTTCAGCTACCAAGTCAGGGGTCTGGCCTGTTTGCAAGCCGGCAAGCTGTATTTTGCTAAGCTAACAAGGCCGCTTCCCACGAACGTTATCGTTTCAATCTTTGTACCATTTTGCAGGGAAACGTGGCAGTGTTCGACATAAGGGCCCCTCAAATACTAATTTAAATCAACGGGTGGGCCAACCTCGGTCCGGCGTGGCACCGGGCCAACCCCCAACAAAAGAAAATGGGGGGTCCAACCCCACCATGAAAAAACAAAAACGGCGGCGTCGTGAAAAAATAAACTCAAAAGAGTTGAACATTGGGTTGAACATTGTTTCGCGGGGCTCAGGAAAAAACCGCCGGGCGGTTACTTATGGAGTTCCCAAGATTTCCTCTTCAAACACCACACCAGGCAAATCGCATGATAAATTGAATAAACAAAAAACAGGAAAATATCGGGAACCCTGACTTATGATACAGGAAACGTGTGTCTGCCGTTGCGCGTTCTTGCTGCGCAGGCACCGCGGCTTGCAACGTACAGGGTTGCTCATGTACTCGAGAATCCGAGCATGGGAAATTAAAGAAAGCCAGACAAAATCTTGCTCTTCTTTTGGAGTCCCTAAGGGCGGGGGGGGTGGTCCAGGGGGGGTTCCTTAAGACTTAAGGAACCAGGGCTGTCATCTACCCACCCTCCTTGTACCTATCTCCCTTAGGGATTCTCTTCTTTCCGGCTTCTCTTGCAACCAAATAGCTGCGCGGATATGCGGATTTTTTTGACAACCAATCCAGACTGAGAAATGTCTAATTTTACAAAATGGGGGGGCTAACCTACAACCCTTCCTGACCAGACCCCATTTCCCTTTATTCACAATTCAGAAAATGGGGGGCGCCAACCCCACTATGGGAGGTGACATCCTTAGAACAAACAGCCCAAAATGGGCTCAACCCCCCCCCATTTTCCAAATTGGTGTCGAACCCGGATGTCTGATAGCTTTGAAAGACTTGTCAGAAGAATACCCAGAAGTTTGTAAAACAATGCCAAGAGCGACGCAGAGAGTATCTCAGACGTGAACTGCCCCATAACCGGGACTTCTCCGACTTCCAAGTAACTCCCGCTGACCTTCCTTGGGCCTGCACCTTGCCAGAGACGTATGTTGTGGTCGAAGCCACATATTTGCCGTCTTCAACCAAATAATAGTTCCCTTCAAACAGCCACGTACGTCAACCTAGCAGAATCACTCCGCAGGCGAAGACACTGGGACAGACAAACAAGCAAACTAAGCAAACAAAATAAACAAGACATAAGCAAGCAAGGAAGGATGTGAGGTTGATCGATGAAACCATCACGGCTCAACGAACGCGTCAGAAACAAGCGTCATCCGCTCATCCACATTGCAGGCGTATAGCGCTAAAGCGGAGCCAGACAAAACACATTTGGCGGCAAAGAGGCGCCTCCATTTTGCCACACACGCTTGTCTATGCTTGCTTTAGCACGCGAAAGCGAAACTGTCCGTCCGAGCAGCACGATTAGCCCATGGCTTGGCGCATCACAGCCTGGGCAACACCTGACAGACGCATGTGCTATGAGGCAGGAAACCAGTGTTTGCCTTTGAGTGTACTGCCAGCTCAGCAGATCGACGTCCGTCGCTTGCCACTGTGGCAAGTGACTGCCTAGATGACTGCCTAGACTTTAGAAGTTGCGCGTTGCAGCCAAGCCACGTGAAAGAAATGTAAAACAGGTAGACAAACACCCAGACGATGGAGACCGCTTTCAGCGGCAACAGAACGTCCTCCCAGCTGACTCCGCCAGATATGCTCATGAAGAGGCTCAGCATGGTATTGGACAACCTGCGCTCAGGAACTATCGTCTTGTTCAAGCAAAGAGGAAACGTATGGGCCTTGGAAAGGAGAACAATTTTGGGAACCTGTCTCTATCATTCCATGCCCCTTCGGTTGAATGTGTCCCTCCAACAAGTTGTTAATCGCTGATTCGCGCATCTCAGACAAAGGGCTTCTGGGAGGTAGCAGAGCTGGGTGGGGGTGCCATGACATGTGTGAATACAAGTAAGTGGAACCTCGCCAAATTTGAAAATTTATGAGGTTGCACAAGCTCGTTGTTTCTGTGGATGTGCACTCACATGATTAGTATCTGTTCTTATCAGCGAAACCACTGATGATCGAATGGCGACATGCCATCTGGCTCAAGACGCCGAAGAGAAGCACGCCTGTTGAAACCATCGGTTATGAGCCCAAAACTCGCAATGATGACTTGCAGTGGCGCGAGGTTAGGAGGAGGACCGCCGGTTGCTTCGAGAAGGGCAAGGTCGGAGGACTTGGAGAGCTGGCAGGGGATTCGCCGGGTCAGTGCGATTGCCCCGAGGTCGACTGGCCCCGCATCAGTTTCGAGCAAGCTCGATGGTGCAGATGGGTCAACCCCTTGCTCCTCAACCATTTTGACGCCACCTGTAATCAATAATTTCCTTCCTTCTCCTCCTTCCACAGCGACATCAGGTCTTATTGAAGCTGGTGGGCGCCGCCCATTAAAAAATTCCACCGCTGCCCCTTCTGCGAGCAGAGCCCCATATTGAAAGTTGCCAGGGCCTTGAAGCGCATATGTCCCCTGATTGCCGAAGGATGCGTTCCGCATATGTATTCTCGGATGATCTGGAACAATCTCCGACTGATCCTTAATGGGCCGAAGGATGCCCGCCAGATACTCCCGAGGGCTGACCTTGACCTCGAGGATCTCCGACTTTGAAAAACACAAGCCTCTCAAGCAGGCGCAGATTTCGTGGCAGTTTCGTGGCAGGCGCAGATTTCGTAGCAGGCGCAGCACTTTCACAAGGTCCAGCGCAGATTTGGTGGCAAGCGCAATTTCGCAAGGTTGGGCACAGATCCAAATCTAGAGACCCTCACCCTGAGAGGTGGGGAAAAAAGAAAGCGCGCAGCGGTTGCCGAAGTTTGAATGGCTCTCCGCGCTAGCCTAGCCACGGCTGCGCACACGAAGCGTCATCTTCTAGCGATGTTCACTCTCGCACCGAGGGCGCGCGTTTGCCTGGCGCTCTTTGAGGCAGAAAAGCCAACTGTTATCTGCGGAGTGGCTTTCCAACCCAAGTAGGCAGCTTCGCGATCAGCTCTTCCGAAGAGGATAACGCCGTGCTGACAATACAGCAGTTCATCAGCAGAACAACTGGTGTCCTCAGCAACGATGTTGTCAGGCAAAGTGTGAGCCTTCCGGAGTAGACACTGTCGTGACCCAGTCCCTAAAATGTCTCCACGCACCTTTCTTCGCGATGAACTCATCCGTCCCAAAACATGGTGTTGCAGTCTGTCGGCCTTGTGTGTGTCCCTTGCCGTCGCCAGAAAACCAGGAAACCGGTGCTCCAAACCAGAAACTTGATATTCGTAGCGGCGCTTGTCCTTCTTGGCGCCGACGAAGAAGCTTGAATCTGCCATTAAATTTGCGCAACGGCAAGAGGTAGAAAGATGGATAGGCAAATAGACACATGGATAGAGAGATAGATAGATACAGATAGATAGACAGATAGACTGAGATTAAGTAGGCCCTTCCCTTCAAAAAGTCCACCGCAGCCAGCCCCGCGAAAAGTCTAGCGCAGCACACTCCACAGCCAGCCCCAGTGTAGGAGGAGGAGGAAGGAAGCTGGAGGAAGGCAACGCTGAGATAAAATCTAGACCCTCGCCTGAAAGTGGGGAAAAGCAAAAAAGAGGTAGGATGGCTCGAGGGAGCACTTTATGCTTTGATTGCCAGACAAGATGCGAGCCAAAGTATGCGTGGCAATGCGCAAGCTCCTTCTCCGACAGATCAGCAGCAGCCTCGATCATGAAATCATTGACTGCCTGGAGGCTACCGGCGCACGCAAACCCCAGCTGCTGAACAACGACTAGTAAACAAGGCGCACGCTTTCCAAGTGAGTAGGTCTTTGTTTGGTCTCTGAGCCCTAAGCAGAACTCATGTGTCGTTTGCATGTGTGCGGTCTTTGTGTGCCTTGGCGAAAGGAAAGGCGGCATAACCACAGCTGCGTTTCGGGGCGCTTGTCGTGGGACGTACTGTGACTCGAGCAGAACGCAAACCACAGCTGTCCTGTGAAAAGAGCACCGCAAAGACATACACAATGACAATGAGCAGCATCAGCGCCCAAAACAGCGACTTCAGCCTCAGGCGCCCCGAACTCTCCTTCCGCCATGGGAACAGCACAGGCAAACAAATTGCCTGTTCACCCATCGATGAGACTGCAAATAACACCTCTCCTGCTAGCAGTTGCAAATGGTGGTAGCAGAAGACATGCGTGTCAGGGAAATACCAGTGGCAATGCCAAAAACACAGCAGCGATAGAAGCCTCCTGGCAAACTTTGTTTGAAAGATTTGCACAAACTCGAAAGGTGTGCAGCGTGGAGCCAACCGAGCAACGTGTACACAATGGAGGTGATAAGCGTTCGGAAGGCCATCAGAAGCTTGAACACACGCATGAGACGGACAACTTTGATGACTCCTTGGCCAAGCAAAGGAACACGCTGCAACGTCCGGTAAAACCCTGTCGGATTGAGAGCATACTCCAAGCTCCGTTGTAGGAGACGGTAGCTGTCTGCGCGCGCGTGCGTGTTGGTCTGCGCATGTGCGTGCGTGCGAGCGC